CCAACATGTGCTTTGCTCTAGAAACAAACAGTACTGTCTGATTTGCTAAGCAAATTTGAGTTTGTCTGGACCTCACTACACAACAGCCTAAAGCCGAAAGGCTGAAGGAATTAGTACTTTCACTATTGCACTAACTGTTTTAATGATCGAGCTCCCCTTTACAAAGTTCATGTTTGCGCTCCTTAACACAAGCAAACAAGGCAAAATAGCCAAATAAGTAGTTAAATTCATCAGCCACAAGAGTTTTATTAAGAATTGAGCATTATATACCGCTCCATGGGCTAAACAGCACTATAAAGCTATTTAGACATGTCATTTGCATAGCAAACGAAGAACGAACTAACGAGCATTTCTAACGACACAAGGCAAGACCAAGATCACAGCCACTTACAAACACTACGGCACCCTCAACCTGCACCACACAAGAAGAGGTAACAACCTTACGCTGCCACCATTCAGTCCTATTAACTTAAAACAATGAAAAAGCAGTCTTAGTTTATTTCAAAAGTGAAGAAAAAGTCACATTAGCATAATTCAAATGAGGGGAGTATTAAGTTCTTGCTGTCAGAAAAACGCCTGCTTCAACCTCCAAGAAGAAACGGGGGAGCAGCGGTGGGGAAGGATGGGAAGCTCCTTTGCATGAGCGTCCTCAGCTCCAGATAACACAGCCAGTTTTCAGACGTTCACCAACAGGCCCGAGGACATTTTTCTACTCAAAGTTGCCAGTCAAGATTTTACATCTCAAGCTATAAATTAAGTTTTAAAAGCTGCTCTGGACTGGGAGGTGCTGCAGCCGTTGCATACACAGACTTGTGGCCACTAACTTCTCCTGGAACATCACAGGTGGGGTCTGAAGACGGCAGGAGAGTTTCTGACTCTGATCAAGCAGCATCCCACCCCAAAGAGCGTTTTTAAAGACTTCTGAAGGCAAGTCTGGTTAAAAGACAGCATTGCGGGTGAAAATTGGTAAGACCTTAATCCTTACTTCCCAGAGGATCCTGACTCTGCTTTACAGAGAACGTGCCTGCTACAGGTTTGGCTTTCCCCTTCACCTCATTCACCTCACCCGTTCCCATTCAAACCCTGCCTTACTACTTGAAGCCTCAAGAAAAAGACACTCCTCCTCCCCGAGCAGGGAGCTTCAGTTTCAGGCTACATCAAAAGCCACCAAAAAAGTCTGCTGTTATTAAAGTACCTTTTGAAGGGCCATACTCAGTTATGATTTATTTGCAGCTAACAGAAAGAGCTATCTGCTACCTGTCTGAACCTTTACGTATATTTAGTGGCATTGGTTACGAATACGCAAACAAGCTCCTCCACTACCCTCCTTTCCCGCACAGTGTCAGCAGGCATATTTGCGTATATTGTCCGTGGGGACATGCTGCACTGGGACAGCCTCGGTAAGTTTACGTTGACGCTGCTGCTGAAGTTTTATTTTATGAAAGCTGCAACAGCCAAGGCCCTGCTGGGTTATCAGAACAGCGAACAGTTCTGCAGGATCTCACTTGAGCTCAGTTCTAAACTCTTACAAGCTTCGGAGTTTAAATGAACCAAAGATCGGGGATCTGACAGCACGCCACAGTCGCTGTGATGAAGCCTCAACGGCAGCAGCTCCTTTCCAC